TCCTTTATATACAGGAGGAGGGGGCTCCCCTAGAACACACATCAATTGTTCAAGCTGTGTGCGGCGCCTCCCTCCACAGTTTACGCCTCCGGTCATATTCTCGCGGTGCTTAGGCGAAGCCCTGCGCGGATCACATAACCATCACCGTCACCATACCGTCGTGCTGACGAAACTCATCTACTTCCTCAACCCTCTATTGGATCAAGAGCTCAAGAGACGTCATCGCGCTGAACGTGTGCTAAACTCGGAGGTGTCGTACGTTTGGTACTCGATCGGTCGGAACGAGAAGACGTTCGACTACATCAACCGCGTTAAGCAAACGCTTCCGCTTTCGGTCAATGAGGGTACATGGAGACACTCTGCCCCTCTCATTGCTATGCATCTCCTAGATAGATCTTGCGTGACCGTAGGAAATCTTTTGAAATTGCATGCTACGTTTCCCAACAGAACTCAACCTCTCCAGCCAACCGACCCGTCGCCCCACGGCCTAGCTCGATGAACACGAAAAGAGATGGACACGGCAGTTTACCCAGATTCCTTCCACCTTGCGGTGTAAGACCCTACTCCTGCTTTGTGGTGGATTAGCCTTGCGAGGGGCTGAGGATGAACAAGTACAAGGGATGAGCAACCTCGCGAGGTCTGCTCTGGTGAGTCGTGGGGTTCGGGTGATCTGGATGCCGATCGAATCCCCTTCTATGGTGGTGGCTAACCTATACTTATAGTGGCCTAGGTCCTCTTCCCCCAAAATGTAGGTGGGAAGGGATCCCACAGTGGCCAATTTGAAAGGGGACAAGTAGTACATCTTATCCTGACAAAAGGTGGTCTTCTCCTGCAAAGCTTATGGTCATGACACCGCAGTGGGCTCAGCGATGACATCCGTCATGGCGGTCTTTGTCTCGGTCCACTGGAGTGGAAACCTTTGCATGATTCTTCGAGAACCCATGCCTGCGCTTGCCTCCTTAGTACCGAAGAGGAAACTGTCTTCTCTACGCCCGCTGGCGCCCGCCTGGCCTTGGTCGTCATGGTTTGCGCCACCGCAACCTCATGAGGTTGGGCACTTGCATAGGAATCGCCGCTCCTCAGGAGCAGCCTAGGGAGGCCGCTCCCTTAGGATGTCTTGGCGTCGTTTCCATCACGAGGTTTGGCCCCGCGCGATGGTCTTGTCTTGGCGATGTTGTAGATGGGCCATACGAGGTCATCGATGGAGCGACGCCATGGGCCGCAGGCAAGCAAGTCTGGGTACCCTGGTTTCCAGAACGCCAACATATTTCATAAGCAAACAAATTATAAAGACAAGAAATATCTAGCATATGCAAGGTAGGAGAATAAAACATTGACGATCTCAACATAACGAGAGGTAATTTAGTAACATGAAATTTTCTACAACAATATGTTCCTCTCTCATAATAATTACATGTAGGATCGTAATCAAATTGAACAATATTACTATCATATAAATTTTTCTCTTCATGATCCACATGCATAAAATTCTTATAATCTTTCGAGATAGTGGGGTTAACATCAACTAAAGTCATGACCTCTCCAAACCCACTTTTATCAAAATTTTCATAAGGTTGAACACTCTCCGAGTATGTGGGATTCTTATGTCCTAAAGTTGACACTCTTCCAAACCTACTTTCAATATTATTGCAAACATTATTATCAATATCATATTCATAATGAGGATTAAATAAATTATGAAGATCATAAGAAACATTACACCCCAATCATGATCATTGCAATAAGTAGTGGATATAACAAAATCATCATCCCCAAGCTTGTAGTTTTGCATATTATTAGCTCAATTGACATTAATAGAATTTATAATGACATTATTGCAATCATGCTTTTAATTGAAGGAGCTATCATGAATCACTTTATAAATTTCTTCTTTCAACACTTCATCACAATTTTGCAATTCATGGTTTTCAAGCAAAACTTCATAGAGATAATCAAGTGCACTCAATTCACTAGCAATTGGTTCATCATAATTGGATCTTTTGAAAATATTAGCCAGTAGATGAGGATCCATGTCAATAGATTTTTAGCAAGCGAAGATGCAAGCAAATAGAAGGCTTATGGCACACAAGCAAAGATAGCAAATGAACAAAAAGGCAAATGGAAAATATTTTTGTGTTTTTGTAAAATCGTTTTAGAAGTGGGGAAGATGAAAATGAGAGGCAAATAGCAAATAAAATAATTGCAAGGAGATGAAAGTTTTATGCGTAGGTACTTGATAGATATTGATGATGTCTCCCAGGCAACGGCGCCAGAAATTCTTCCTTATGGCTTGTATCTGTGTTGGTATTTCCCGGAAGAGGAGATGATGATGCAACATAACAAAGGTAAGTATTTCCCTCAGTTATGAAACCAAGGTTATCAATCCAGTAGGACAACCAAACATCACTATGTAAACAACACCTGCACACAAACAACAAATACTTGCAACCCAACTCGTAAGAGGGTTGTCAATCCCTCCTCAGTATTGAGATAGATTAAATTGTATGAGATTTGATAAATATATCTAATAGAACAAAAATAAAATAAAGAAAGAAAAAGTGCAGCAAGGTACTTTTTGTTTTAATATGATAGGAAATAGACCTGGGGGTGTAGTTTTCACTAGAGGCTTCTCACGAGAAAATAGCATACGATCGGTAAACAAATTACTATTGGGCAATTGATAGAAAAACGAATAATCATGATGATATCCAAGGCAATGATCATGTATATATGCATCACGTCCGAGACTAGTAGACCGACTCCTGTCTGCATCTACTACTATTACTCCACACACCGACCGCTATCCAGCATGCATATAGTGTATTAAGTTCATGGGAAAATGGAGTGATGCAGTAAGAACGATGACATGATGTAGACAATATATATTCATGTAGGAGTAAATCCCATCTTTTTATCCTTAATAGCAATGATACATGCATGTCATGTATCTTTCTGCCACTGAGATTGAGCATCGCAAGATCAAACCCATCACAAAGCACATCTTCCCATGGCAAGAAAAATTAATCTAGTTGGCCAAACCAAACCAAAATTTTGGAGAAGAAATACAAGGCTATAACAATCATGCATAAAAGAGTTCAACAAAGACTCAAATAATATTCATGGATGTAACTGGTCATAAACCCACAATTCATCGGAATCCCAACAAACACACCGCAAAAAGAAGTTACATCAAATAGATCTCCAAGAACATCGAGGAGAACATTGTATTGAAGATCAAAAAGAGAGAAGAAGCCATCTAGCTACTAGCTACGGCCCCGTAGGTCTGTGGTAAACAACTCATGCATCATTGGAGGGGCAACAAGGATGATGAAGAACCCCTCTGTGATTGTTGCCCCATCCGGCAAAGTGCCGAAGAAGGGCTCTAGATTGGATCTCGTGGTTCTGGAACTTGCGGCGGCTGGAACTGTATTTCGTCGACTCCACTAGGGTTTTGGAGATTTTAGAGTATTCATAGAGGTGGAGGTTGACGGAGAAGCTTCCCGTAGGCTCCACTACCCATCAGCGCGCCTTGGTGCCTAGTGGGTCCTACGGGCCTCCTCCCGTGAGCTCCTTTGGCTCCCTGGGTGTTCCTTGTCCAGAAAAAAATTCCAAAAGGTTTTGTTGCATTTGGAATTTGTTTGGTATTGATATTTTGCAAAGTAAAAAACAAGCAGAAAACAACAACTGGCACTGGACACTATGTCAATAGGTTAGTCCCAAAAATGATATAAAGTTGCTAGTAAATGAATATAAAACATCCAAGATTGATAATGTAACAACATGGAACAATTAAAAATTATAAATGCGTTGGAGACGTATCATCGCTGCACTCTGGTCCTCCCTCTCCCCCACGTTGTAATGTCACTCGAGGCCATCCACCATCTCTCTTGTTTTCCCTCTCCTCAAGTTTGCTTTGGGGCGTTGTTGGAGCTCGCGACACAGGGAGGTTGCAGGGGTTTGAGAGCCTCGTCAAGGCGGTGACCGATGTTGTTGGGGTGCTCACAGGAGAGTCAGGTAAGAAGGGGAATGGTCGGAGGTCGTTGTGCCCATCGAATTTGGCCGGACAACTGACGGACAGAAGTGACGAAAACTATGGCGAGTTGTTGTCTTGGAGTGGTTTTCGCCCAATTAATCATGCGCGGAGGATGGGGACAATGCGCGGGGTCATGTGGACATGAACCGCGAGGTGTGTAGCGACGTTGGCCAAGAAGTCGCTCGGTGATGGCCATAGTGGGGCTCTTTTTGTGTGTGGGAGAAATAAAATATAGTGAAAAAGAGAGAGAAGGTGGCAGCCAGCTCGGTGGAGGCCATGGCGGGGCTCTTAAGAAAGATGTAAGCGAGCTCGGCGTCAAGGCAGCAAGATGGCGAGGAATTTGAGCGCGGACAGAGGCGGACGAACTTGGGGCAGCTGAGGGAGTCCGGGCTTACGGGTATCGTTTACAGAGAGTATTGGGACTTGGCACACACCCTAGACATGGTCGCGGTTGTCAAGGAGAACTCGGACCACGCCGTCGAATGAGGGTGGTCCGCGGCAGAAGCTCGGGGGCGCGCTCGGGGCGACGACGGCTGTGATGGGTGGAGGAGGACAACTTTTTCTGATACCCTATTTTACATCATTTGCTGCGACAGAAAATTTCTGATGCCCTAAAACCGCCTCTCTGTCCTGCCCTAAAACTTTTTAAAATGTTCGATTTTGCCTCTACCGCGTCTCTCCTGCCCTAAAGCCGCGTTATCCGCGCCGGGTGCTCCGGCGCGCGCGATGGCGACGCAACGCGCAACTGGGCACGTCCCAATCGTCCCAACCCAGAGCCACGCGCTCGGCATCGTCGTGCACTCGTGCCCGTGTCCATGTCCGTCCCAGTGCAAACACCGCGTGTCTCTACAGCCTACACGTCTCGACAACTGCTTGACGAGTTATTATGGTGAGCTCTCCAGCCGGCGGAGCCAAGTCAGAGACGAAATCAATGGAAAGTTGGAAAAAAGAAGAAGGATACAAAAACATGGACGAGTGGCGGACAGGGGAGCGGGTCCGGGACGCGGCCCCCGTCTGTCGCTTTCCGTCACCCCCTGTCCTCCGCTGCCTGGCCCGGTCCAACGGCTACCCCGAGACAGCCAGCTCCAACCTCCAACGGCTCGACCCGCCCACGATCCCGTCTCCTAGTATAAACCACCTCGCCGCGCCCTCCCCACGGAACCCACTCCCACACCCAAGACCAACGCGTCCAAAGCAGCAGAGGAGTCCAAGAACCAGAGCACCGAGGGAAGGAAGCGCTATCTCCTCCATGGCCGGCTGCTGCGTCTTCCTCCGGCGGCCGTCGACCTCCTCCGCCCACCGCCTCGGCTACCACTCCCTGGACGGCGACCACGAGGCCGGCCCGCCCCCGGCGGCGACGGTGACGGTGGTGGTCGGCAAGGAGCGGCGGGTTTTCGCCGTGGACCAGCTGGTGCTCGACACCTACCCGTTCCGGGTGCTCCTGGAGACGGCGGCGCGGAAGGAGGAGCGCAGGAGCAAGGCCCTCTTCGTGGACGTCGACGCCATCCTCTTCGAGCACATCCTCTGGCTCGCCGGCTGCCACGATCGCTCCGCCGTCTCCCTCCTCCAGCCCGACCTCAAGGACATCATCGACTTCTACTCCCAGGACGCCTGAAGACGATCATCTCATCACATTCTTCTTCAGTCGGCCCATTCTTTTATTTTTCTTCTTCTTCTTTTCCTGATGCTAATGTTCATAATGTTCAGATCATCTGTTATAAGTTACGACTGTGAAATGGGAAATACTATAAATTATAGAAATATATATATATATATCTATTCATCGCTAGTGAATCTCGATGCACCGTAGCTGTCCTTCTAGTTGCTGGCGCGCACGTCCGTCTGAACATTCATTCACTCTTGAGCTTGTGATCTCCTGTTATTTTTCATATCATCTCCAACACGTCTGCATGTACGTGTGCGCGTGCTTAGTTTAGTAGGCGAGGAGAACAGCATGTCACAACGCGCTTACTTGTACTGGTCACTTTTCACTCGGTCCGGCAAGAACATGTCAATTGCTAGCTTGCTCAGAAGCCGCGCCACCATGATATATATCACTCTCTGGAGTCTGAAAAAAATGATGGCAATAACACGTCGAACAGCTTGACCATTTCGTCGCCATGATCTTGGCGATGGAACCATCGTCGCGCTGCCGACCACGGACAGCGACATGCCGAGTTTTATAAACCCAGCACCATTGGTGGGTGCCTAACGAGACAAAACAAAATGCAGCGCTACTTCCAGGCCAGCTATATAGATGACGCAATAATGCATATCGTTTCATACACAATTCCAAGGGTTTGTAACGTAACAGAGGATGATTTAAAGTTGATAAAAGTTTGCACTGTTCGACCTAGATGTTCAGCCGAGCTGCAGGGAAATAGTACATTTTTCAAGTTGTCTGGATAATTTTTCTCAAAAACAGGAAGACGTGTGCAGTTTTCCTTTTCTTTTTGAGAACAAAAAAAGTAAGCGTGAAAACAAAAGAGAATTTGTAGTAGTTGCACTGTCTTTTTTTCCTTTTTGAGAACTAGTAGTTGCACTTACATGCAAAAAATAGTACTAGTTCCACTGTCAGGCCGTATTATGGGAATCAAAAGCCCATCTATGCTGGGCCTTAACTCAACTTCGGCTCAAGCTCAAAACAACGAACGGAACACAGAGCTGCTCTGCTGCGCAGCGCTCTAGTTTAGTCCCACCTCGCGGAGCCAGAGCGGAAGGAGGCGACGTGCTATATAACCAGACCCAGGCCAGCCGGAAGGAGCATACCTTTCTCGGCCTTTTGGCTAAGATCAAGTGTAGTATCTGTTCTTATCAGTTTAATATCTGATATGTGGGTCATGTGCCCACAATGATATTAAATTTATTTTTTATGGGGGAGGGCCCACCATAGTAGCTTGCTACTGGGGCCTTAGTGTGTCGCCCAGCCGTTGCACTGCAGGCTGGGCCTGGCGCGCCCCAACCAAAGCAAGGAAAAAACTTTTCTGTAGGCTTGAAGAATTCTGATTTCTCTTCAGAACTGAATTGCATTTCTGAAGTTTACTACTGCTCTTCCGGCGAAATCGAATTACTGCTTATCAGGCCGAAAATTTCTTCATCAGACCTGATTTTCGTTTATGATTCGACTGGTCTTTGATGGATGCTTCTCCTGTACTAGTATTCTCTAACTCAAATGTTTGGGACTAACCTGCCTGGTTGGATATGATTGGCCTCCAGTCACACATTTCGAAATCCAGTTGGTATACGAGACAACTTTGGTCGACAATAATATACTCCCTCCGGTTTTTTAAACTTTGACAAAAATATCAATAACAAATCAATACCATTATATTCATTATTAAATATACTTGCACATGCAACGCACGTTAAATGTTGAGCACCAATATATGAATTGATTAATACACAATGTTGTTATGTCACAAGTTGTTTTTCCAAAAATGAGACATCATTGTGATCATATGATATATTGTTTAATATATTCTGTGTTCTAGTAGGCTGTAAAAGAATCAGAAATCTAGTTATGATTGAAAAGCAACCTTGCAATGTGTTCAGTACGTCGAGATGCAATCCTACAATTGCTCTAAATATCATTAAGCAATGGATAACTGGAACCTTAGAAAAAAGATAAAGATATACTCCCTTCGTTCTTAAATATAAGTATTTTTAGAGATTTCAAATGGACCACCACATACAGATGTATATAGCCATATTTTAGAGTGTAGATTCACTCATTTTGCTCCGTATGTAGTCACTTGTTGAAATCTCTACAAAGACCTATATTTAGGAACGGAGGGAGTAGTTAAATCAACATATACTCCCTCCGTCCCAAAATAAGTGACTCAACTTTGTACTAAGTTTGTACTAAACTTAGTACAAAGTTGAGTCATTATTTTGCGACAGAGTGAGTACTATATAATATGAGGTTGCTAACCAAATGCTTTTATAAACCTGCAAATGGCCTTGATAAGGTATTCTTAAATTTCTGGTAGTCAATTATGTGTTACAGATAAACATACCTCACACCTGACCGACTACTAAAATACAAAACAAATATCGCACATAAAAATATTAATGACATAGAACCAATATTCTGAAGTAAAATCATAACACCAGGCCTCTTTCGGCAATCGAAGGAGCTAACTCTATTCTGAAGGAGTAGCATTACAATTTACGACATAGCCTCCGATCACTAACCTGCAGGGGCAGGTTTGTACACAGGTGTGCATAGAAAATTAACCTCTCTGAGAAGAAAAGACAGAGTAAAAGAACAAAAAGCTTGGCTCAACTCCATTTCTGACAGGAAGCCGATAATCTCCAACCTATTATGTTTTCTTGAGTTCCACTCCTTCCAGCAACAAGCTACCTTTGAACTGAATTGCACAAGCAACTAACCTTCTAACCTTCTTGGAAACCTGGATCACCTCTGAACCTTGGGTGCACATTAGGCCTTATCTCCATGGACCTGTTCAAAATCACATGAACACAGTTAGAGCATCTATTTTAGTTCAGCTAAATATGGTACAACCAAATATATACCCTGTATAGAATTCTGAAGTTCTAACTACCTTGTCATTTTTTTATTATAATGTACCGAGCTTGATCTGGTTGGAGGGCTTCTAGATCATGTTTAGAAATGTCATCGTGCTAACATTTTTATGCAGGAACCAGGGAACTTAGTGTAGTTACAAAGACACCATGTCTGACCAAGCACCAATGGCAGCTCTAAACGCAGTCACCATTTTTAAACAGGAACTTAGTCCATCTACAATCCAAAAACATGCACTTAAGTTCCCTTCCATCCTGCAATCCAAAAACATGCACTTAAATTCCCTTCCATATGAACATGTACTTAATCAGGCTAGTCTAAAAACATGCCCTTAAGCACCTCTAATCCGTCTCTGCTCCAGCTCCTTCCTCAATCCTCCACCTGCTCCAGCTCCTTCCTCAATCCGCCTCAAATCCCTTGTACCGCATATCTTGAAACAAAGCATCATCAATAAACTTTAGTATCTTAGATGGAGAATTATGGAGGTATACTCTACCACAAAGTACCCACCTGAAGTTAAGAAGTGGCTTTAGAGACATAGATATAAAGCTGGTAGGCTCAACAGTTGGTAAGAAACTCTCATATAATTAGAGAAAAGTATGCAAACTTTTTAAGTAAGCAAGTGCTATCAGCTAGCACCATGGTCGTCTATGTTTGTGTTCATCAAACATGCTACCATATTATATAGTACAAAATAAATAGATTTTGATGAATACAGAGTAATAATGAGTGAGCAGAAGTATTAAGCTTAATCAATTAAAATCATAAATCTCTCCATCCGTGCCTAGACCTGTCAATGTAAATGTATCATATTCTGTCTACACATTTTGCATACAAATCTCTGAGTCATCTCGACCTACACTGCTACTTTATTAAAATCCTATCCACCAAAATTTCTCACGACAATATCTAGCACTTAGTTGGTCTTACCTGGCTATGTCTGCCGGCCTGGCCGGGGTCTCGCCTGATGCCGGCATGTCGCATGGCCCTCCTCAGGAGAAGCACGCGTCTGCGCTGTTCAGGCTGTCCATGGTGCAAGACCAGAAATAAGGAGGTGCGAGACCAGAAATTCATCCGGCAACAACTACCATTCTTCACAGTTGGAATAAGTTTAACAACCGCCACATCGAACCTGTGCTAAAATACATGATTCGCCTTCAGTTGCCTGGCTAACTATGGACACGTGAAATGAATAAGAGAAGATTGATAATTGCATAACCATGAAATTACAATAAGACTAATTCAGGAGAGGGAAGCTACTGAACCCCGTTACAAATGAACAAATTGAGCTTGTGATTTGATTCTTGGCATGGAATGGGATGCCAAATTAAAAATTATATTTATACAACCAAAATTGGATAAATTAATGAAATATCAAATTAACTTTCAGTGCAATCATATGTTGGAAATCGTCATATAAAAGTATGACCACTCTTGGGAACATATATATAGAGAGACAAATCAAACAACACGACAGGTGCTAGACTGGGTGTCATGACTAATTTACAATTACTGGTAGAGGCTTGAGTTGTGTAAAAGTTTCTGGCATAACATTGATTATGAGGAACATATCACAAATTCCTTGCTAAATAGGAAAAAAACAACTGTTTCATCAGTGATGTATGACACTTACTTACTATTACCAGTTAACTAATGTCATCATGCAGACATAGAAATACGAATAAAAAAAGAATTCTTGTCTAATCGATTCCTCCTTATGCTTATGCTCCTCCCACAGGTGCTCAGATCCAACAACTTGTCCTCTTCCTACAGGGAATCAGTGCAGATACACGTATATGTGTGAGAGAGAAAGTAGACCCAAAAGGAAGAACATGAGGGGTGCTGTCACCGGCAGCGAGGGGCGGCGTGCTCCAGTGTGGACCGTGCGTGTGCCAGGAGGCGCTGCAAGGCAAGGCGTTGTGGGTGGGCGAGAGGGCGGCACTAAGGAGGAGGAGGACGACGGGGTGGGTGCTGTTGGCCTGTTGGGGCAGGCGACGTGCCGATGTCACATGGGTAGGAGGCGGGGAGCGACATCGTCGCGTGGGTAGGAGGGGCAGGAGACGTCGCCT